ACTAAGAAATCTAAACCTCTAGACTCATATGACTTTAAGATTTTGCCTAGGCTTATATAACCTCCAATGCATATGTGGGCCAAACCATTTGATCCCAGACTTGCCTTTTCCTACCATCCCACATGGAAGTATATCACAGTGAAGGGAATCTCTCATGGTTTCCTCCCCTTGCCAACACTGTACTTTGTACACAGATATGGTTTGGTTGCTGCAAATAAGTATAAACCCCCCAATCCCACCATTTATTAGCTGCATGACCTTGAGCAAATTATTTAAGCATGGTAAGTCACAATTGGCCATTTAAATAATGTGCATATGAATTCTTACTTTGCAGGGCTGTTGTGAGGTTTAACAAGACAGCGTACATAAAGGATAGTCTTTAGCACATAGTAATTGCTCAATAAATGCAATTTTAATGTGGTAAAACTACATAAAATAACGCTCTGAAGTGAACTTCTTTTCTGTAAAAACGGTCATTATATGTCAAATTTTATGCCAGTTTGTGAAGCGGTTTAAGTCATCAGCGTCACTCATAGGTATTTCTTATATCTCTGCTCTATCCGGGAACAGTGTGTGTGTGTGTGTGTGTGTGTGTACATGCCTGGGTGGGTGTAGCTGTTTGTGTGTTTGAGGTGGGGAGGGGGTGTGTTTGCAGGAGAGCGGGGTGCAGTACAGGGCAGGTTTTATGACACTGGAGCTAAGCTTTCAAAGAGTTTCCAACCTTGTTGAAGAGACAAAATCTGGACCTAAAAATCAACAACAGCCAGATCAGACAGTTTTTAAATGAATGATGGAAAGAATAAGGAGATGAGAGGCAGGGGAGGTCAGCCCTGGCTACAGGGGCCCAGGAGAGCTTAACTGAAGACAAGGGTTAGCACTCACCCTGGAAGGAAGAGGACGTTTCCGTAGACAGAGAGTCGCAGTCACCCTGTCCCCAAAAAAGAAACAAGGAATCCCAGAAATCATTTCTCCTGGATTTGGAGACCAAGAATCCGGAAGTCAGGAAGCCATGAATGTCCCTATTAGAGATGGCAGCAAGGGCAAGAAGGGTGGAGCAAAGCTGGGGCTCTGCAGACAGAAGCAACAGGACGACTGTGGCTCTGGGGCCGAGGAGCCCATCTCTCCAGGACTGGCTGGCGCTTTGCAAAACACAGAGTCCGGAGAGCCTTAAAAAGCTCGCCTTCCACAAATAGATCCCCTTCGGCTGCAGCGCAGGTGGCACCCTGGCCTCACCACGCCCAGGGGCAGCAGGAGGCCTGTCTCTCCAGCCACACACACGTCTAGCCACCCGGTGTGAATGGTGTGGCTGAGTGAACAAAGGACAGGCAGAGTCTCACACTTTCATAACCTGGTTTCACAGCTGTAGCAACCTGCTGCCTGATTTTAAATGGCAATATCCTTTAAACCCTAAATAATCCGTGTCGTATCCTCTCAGTGTTTATAGTTTGGATATTTTATTAAAATTTGAACACAGGAAAATGACATTTCCATTTCTGCCTCTGGGAAATAGTATTAATAACGCTATTCCACTAACCCACCTTTTACCACGATCCGCCCCCCCACCCCCGGCTCTCCACAGTGCTCAACCAAGTGTGGCTGTGGGGACCTGATTCCCTTGGGAATTCAAAAGAGTTCTGGAATGTTCTCGAGACGGATATGAGGTGTGATGGTTAATTTTATGTGTCATCTTGACTGGTCTATGGTATCCAGTTGTTTGGTAGAACACTAGTCTAGATGTTGCTGTGAAGGTATTGTGTAGATATGGTCAACATCTGGTGACTTTAAGTAGATTATCCTCCATAATGAGGGTGGGCCTCGTACAATCAGTTGAAAACCTTAAGAACAGAAACAGAGTTTTCCCTAAAATGAAGGAATTCTGCCTCCAGGCTACAGCATAAGAACTCTGCCTGAATTTCCAGTCTGCTGGTCTATCCTACAGACTTTAGACTTGCCAACCCCGAATCTCTCTCTCTCTCTCATATACACCCTGTTGGTTCTGTTCCTCCAGAGAACCCTGATTTGTGTCCTCTGAGATAATCTCACAGGATGCAGGAGAAGGATAACCCGGGAAGGTGAAAGGAGTCCACAGTGGGGGAGGGGTGGCCGGGTCAGCTAAGACGCCTTCTGTCCTGCCTAGGACACACGGGCCTGGTGACCTGTGAGCGCACAGAGCAAGAGAGGCAAAGACACTTCTACAAATGCTACAAGTTTGTGCTCTTTTTAAAAAAGGTCATTCGTTTCCCATTTAATTAAATATTCTACTCTAAGATAGGACCACCATACCTATTTACTGCTACAAGTGTCGGGTAATGATAAAGTTTCTTACTTTCCATGATACTAAACCGGATACTCAGAAACAGCATGCCTTTCAGGCTGAATTTGAATGTAATCTCCCAGCTCGGGACCAACCCTCTCTCCCCCTTCTCCAGTCTCCTACTTGATTAATGAAGGGTCTTTACCTTCATAGTTTTAACTAATGGCTCATTCCTCACTTCTGTAACATTAGCCAAAAGAAACTACTCTTCATTAAGGCCGTTAATGAAATCAGCCATTTCTCTTATTTGAAATGTCTTCATTCCTGTAATATTTTCGTGGCTGCAGCAGCTGTTGGACATTTCCTAGTTTTTTCAGAGCTTTGCAGCTCTGGAAAAATCTTTACAAGAGGTTCTACAGCTTAGTTTAATGTAGATGTCTGGAACCAGCGTGGTTAGCACAAAAACTCAATCACAACAGTAATTATTTTTTATTATTGTAATATACGGGAAGAAGAGCCTGGCTTCCCAACTGGAAAGTCCCACGGTGAGTCAATAAAGTTTCCACCCTCTGACCTCCTCAGACGCTCAGGGATGGGGAGCCTTGGGGTTTGGGGCCATAGTGAGGGATTCAGGAGGCACGGGTCTCGTCAAGGTCAAGCCCTGAGGCCCCGTGCCCCGGGCTGGAAGCAGGAGCAGAGCTGAGGACCCGACCTGAGGAAATCGCAGGGCACTCAAGGGAAGGGATGACTAAGAGCGTTAATCCACCTTCACCGGCACGTCCACCAAGGAGTAACCTCAGTGGGTTTGGTTTGGTTTTTTAATAGAAACACCAAATTTGGAAATAAAATTATGCTGGGTTTTCTGTGGTACTTCAGTAATCCCCTAATTTTTTTTCCACTGGGAAGGAGGGACCTGGTTCTTCCAGGCCTGGACATCCAGCCAGGCTCAGCCCCTCTCACCTTTCCTGCCCCAAAGGGTTCCCTGGGCCTGGGGCTGGGGACTGCGGGGCAGCCCCTTTGAGAAGCAGCTCTGCACCCACACACCTGCTGAGATGGGCTGGGCGGGAGCGGGAAGGCCTCCCTCACGTGACTGCTGACCTGCAGCTCCCTGCACTCTGTGTGGGAATTACCAACAGGAGTCAGGGAGCTGCAGGAGGTCCTTTCAGGGGCTTCTGTCCCCATCCCACAACCCCGCAGCCTGTCACACCCAGGGACATCAGGGACATCCTCCTCCAGCAGCCATGGCACTGGGGCCATGGCCAGGGCAGGGCTGAGTCCGGGAAAGGCCTGGGAGGAAACGGAGCCTCTCCAGGGACTCTTCCTACCTCTAGCTCCCCGGACCCTAAGGGGACTCTTCAGAGTCCATGGCTGCAGCCCCACAGAGGTCACCACGTGGCTGGAGCACATGGTGAGGACAGCCAGTCCTCAATTCCAGGCCCAGGACCATGAGACCCACTTGACTGTGTGAACCCACCTCCAGAGCCTCTGTTGCCCGTCGTCCCCTGCATGTGCCAAATATGGGGTGTGATCTGAGGGACCTCCCAGAAGTTACCACCACCACCCATCCTCCCACTAAAAATTCTTCTGCACCTGTCCGAGGAGGGATAGTCATGACCTGAGAGTAAGGCTTCTCTGAGTCCTCCCTTAAAATACATTATGGGGGGAAGGACAGGTCATTCATTGCACCACTCATACTTCTTTATCACAGATTAGCTGGTTAGATACCCAGCAAAATGCCTGGAAGGAAGGGGCCAAAGGATGGACATAATTTTGATAAAGGAAGTGAAGCAAGATATTCCATAAAAAGAGGGATGGGAGCAGGGTGCCTCAATATGGGTGCTGTAGCAGAGAAACCCCAAACCACAGTGGTCCCAGGGCAGTGAGACAACAGATGAAAATGGGTCTAACCAGTCCCACTTCCCCTTCCCCTTTAATGACCTTCAAACCCACTCCCACTCTTAAATTCCTCCCCATTCTTCACAGCCCTGCAAAGCCAGCCGGCAGGTACAACTAAATTAATTAACTAAACAGATACTTGATCAATAGATAATAAAAGTCAGTGTCTCTGGATTTTGTGTTTCTCATGCAGACAATTTCCAAGCACTAAATCAGCTCGTCCGAGATCCCACTTTCCAGAAAGAACCCTTTGAAACAACTAATAACCAGGGTGGTCTTCTTCCTGAAGCTCCGACCTTCCTGAGGCCCCCTGTTCCAGCTGCAAAAAGCTTTGCTCACCCAATTCAAATTCCAAGATGTATCCACTGTGCTTTGCCCTTATCCTAAACGGCGTGTGCAAATATCTGGTTAATGTCACGACACAAGCATTTTGAAATGACAGTGAAAGACCTAACGCATCACTGGATGAATGCGGGGCTGCCCAGGTGCTGCAGAGAACAAGGATCCTCGGAAGACAAGGTTGGATCGGGGGGGGAGGGGACGAAGAGAGAGAGGACGTTTGTTCACACCTAACCTGTGATCCACTAGCATCTCGACAGTGCAGAAACCACAAAGCATTGCCTTTCTTTTGTTAGTAATGTGCAGATTTACAGAGAGGTCACGGGGCATGCATATTTCATGATAACCTCTACCGTTCACTGCGCCTTATCCTCTTCAAGTCTGTGCTCAGGACCTTCCTTATTAAACATAATCACATGGAAGCGTCCCATGGATTCTGAGAAGTCAATGCAATTGTGACCAGCGTTCTGCAGATGAGGAAACTACTTTCAGAGACGTCAAGTTAACTTACCCAGAGTCAGAGTCAGCACTGTAACTTGGGTGGGTGTGATTCCAAAGCCCGAGCTTTAACTACCAGCTCACACTGACCGTGAAATCTTCCACAGTCCATCCCCACACGCTTCCGTGGATGTTTCTGGTTTACATTTCCAACTGGTTTTGTTAAGTCTGAATCCCGATGGCTCCTCAGTCTGCTAATATGATCACAACTCATTTAAGGAAACGAAAATGGAGGCAGAGAGAAAGGCAGCCGGTTCATAAAGCTGCCCGGAGCAGAGGCGAGCACACAGGCGGGCCCCGCACACCCGCCCCGGAGCGGAGGCGAGCACACAGGCGGGCCCGCACACCTGTTTGGCCAGATCTTTGGGTTCAGACAAGCCCTGAGAAGCCCACATTCCTATAAAAGGGCTCTGAGGACGGCTCCAGGCCGTGAGCCTCGTGACGGTCGATCTTCCTTCTGAGAAGGAAAGAGGAGAGGCCATGGGCATAATGCAAGCATCTCCTAACGAGATCTGCTCAGAAGATGTTTCTCCAAGGAGTCAACTGGAACTTTGGGTCTTAGATTCACAGGGAGCTGGGCAGGGAACGGGGTCCTGACTAAAGGGAAGGAGAGATTATTTTTCAGGCCAAAGAGTTCACAAAGTCATGAAGGCCTGTCTCATAATCTGGCTGGTGACTGTTCAGATGCTCCAAAGTCCCAGAGGAAATAAGAATGGGAAAATGAAGATAAATAAGAGTGGAAAAGTGAAGTCTGAAACTTGAAATAAGGCCAACAGGTCACCGGAAGATTCGGTTTGTGCCTAAAATATTTCACGAAATACTTCATTAATAGAAAATAATGTAGCCAGTGTCTATGTTGGTTATAAAATAATTATAAAAGTCACATCTGAGAACCATCACTTAAGAACCAATACCTTTGAAACGACCTAGGTGTGTCCTCCTGATTGGTTGACCTGTGATAAGGAAAATCCTGAAACTTATGTTTATCATTGCACCTTTTAAAAATGCTTTACATATGTACCTTTAAGCAGTACATGGCTTGTTTTTGAACCTTATAAAAATAGTACCATAGGGCTTCCCTGGTGGCACAGTGGTTGAGAATCTGCCTGCCAATGCAGGGGACATGGGTTTGAGCCCTGGTCTGGGAGGATCCCACGTGCCGTGGAGCGGCTGGGCCCATAAGCCACAACTACTGAGCCTGCGCGTCTGGAGCCTGTGCTCCTCAACAAGAGAGGCCGTGATAGTGAGAGGCCCGCGCACCACGATGAAGAGTGGCCCCCGCTCGCCACAACTAGAGAAAGCCCTCGTACAGAAACGAAGACCCAACACAGCCAAAAATAAATTAATTAATTAATAAACTCCTACCCCCAACATCTTCTTTTTTTAAAAAAAAAAGTACCATAGTGAATATACAACCTTCTTCAACTTGCATTTTGCACTCAGAATTTTTTCCAGGATTCATCCAGTTTGTTATATGTTGCTAAATACCTTTATCTTCCTTGTTATTTAACATTCCACTGTGTGTGTATATAACACATTTATCCAGTCCTGACAATGAACATTTGTTTCCAGGTTTTTTTTGTCTTAATAACACTATTAAGGACACAATAGTACCTGTCTTCCAGCCTACATACATAGATGTTCTCTAGGGTACACACACACACACACACACACAGACACACACGCCTGGGAGTGGAATTTCTGGCTTGTAGAGTATGTTTAGTGCATTCTCAACTTTACAAGATAATGTCAAATTTTTCTCCGAAGTGATTGTACCAACTTACACTCTCACGTATACAGCATTTAAATCTTTTCCAGTACTTGGTATTTTCAGATGTATTGATTTTTATTAATACAATTCTGTCAAGATATATATCATATGTTTTTAGTTTACATTTCCCTGATTAGAAAAGATATTGACTATATTTTATATGCTTATTTACCATTCATACTTCCTCTTCTGTGAAATACCCACTCATAGCGTATCTGTATTTTTTATTGCATTTTTTGTCTTTTTATTGACAACTTGAAGGAATGTTTAATATACAAAGAGTAATTATCATTTGTTGTTTATATGTACTAAAAATATCTTTAGGTGGGGGCGTGTTCTTCATTTTCTTTTTACTATCTTTTGATGTACAGAAATCCTTCATTTCAAAGTAGTTGATTATATCAATTTTTCTTCTATAGTGAATGCTTAATGTAAACTTCTCTGCCTCCAAAGTCTTAAAAGTACTCTCCAGTATTTTTTTATTAAGGTTTGAGTCTTTTTCTTTCACATTGAAGGCTTTACATCCATCTGGAATTGATTTTTGTGTGCAGTGTGATGTCGGGATCCAGTTTCATTTTTTCCCATCTAGATAGCAAATGGTCCCAACAGCACTTATGGAACAGTTAATCCTTTTCTAGTAATCTGCACGGCCACCTGTATCATATTTCAAATTCAAAAAAGGTGTGGGGCTGTTTCCGGTTCTCTGTTCTGTTCCGTGGGTCAGTATGTCTCTCACTGAGCCAATACCACACTGTTTCAGCTACCCTAACTTTAAACATAGATACCATTTCAGACAATCTCCTTGCCCTTATTTTTCTTCTTTGCTAGTATACTGACAGTTCTAGAGCGTTTGTTTTCCATTTAAATTGTACAAGAACACTGCGGTGCTCCTTGAGAAACAGAAATTTGAGACAATTGACTCCTTTATTGGATAGTTTTTTGAAAAAAAAATGTTCTCTCTCTCCATTTATTTAGATCTTTGATATCTTTTAATAGCATTAAAATGTTTCTTCACACAATTCTTGCACATCTTTTGTTAGATGTATTTCGAGTGCCTTATTTTGGGGGTATGTGTGTGCTACTGCAAATAGTAGCTATTATTATATTTTATAAGGTGTTGCTGGTGTTTTATAAATGCAATTGACTTTTTATATTGATCTTAAATCCAGTCACTTGCAAAAACACTCTTAATTTTAATGAAATTTCTGTAGATATTTTGAGGTTTTTAATGTAGACTGAACTATATCATCTAACAGTAATGATAGTTTTGTTTTTCCTTTTCATACCCTCATGACTTGTAACTTTATTCTCTTACTGTGCTGCTAGGATTTCTATATCAAAGAGATGGTGATTGTGATATCCTTGTCTTGTTCCTGAATTTAAAATTAACGCTTCAAGCATTTCACCATTGGGAATGATGTTGGCTATCATTTTGGTAGACACCATTCATCAATCATTAAGGTAGTTCCCTTCCATTCCTAGTTTACTGTAATTTATTTCTTTTTTTTTTGCTTTTGTCAAATGCTTCATCTTCATCTATTGAGAGGCAGAAGGTAATGTGTTATATGTATAGAATTTTTTTATTTTTAAAGCACCCTTGCATTATTGAGATAAACTCAACTTTATCTTGGTATATTCTCTCTTTTATTACAATCCTATATTGGATTTCCTAATATTTTATTTAGGATTTTTGCATCCCTGTTCATGAGTGAGATTGTCTGACAACTTTCCTTTATACAGTCCTTGTCGGGCTTTGGGATCAAGGTTATAGTGACCTCTTACAATGCATTGGGGACTGCTTCCTCTTTTGGGTATATCTGAAAGGGTTTGTGTGAGATTGGATGAACAGTTATTTAAAAGTTTGTTTAAAAAAAACAAAAACAAAAACAAAAAAAACCTCACCTATAAAAGCATCTGAGTCTCTGAGGAAGGGTTACATAAACTTCTACTCAAGTTCTTTAAGGATAATGGAGTTATCAAAGTCTTCTATTTCTTCTTGAGTATGTTTCCATAAGTTATATTTTCCTAGAATTTGTTCATTCCATTTTTATTTTCATGTTTATGGTGTAATCTTGTTCATAGTATTCTTTCTTTCTTAATATCTCTGCTCTGCCTGTATTTATGGCACTCTTTCATTTTTAATTTTTTATATACAGCTTCCCTATATTTTTCATGATTGAGCTCAGCAAAGCTTTGTCTGTTTTATTAATCTATTAAAAAATCCCTTTTGAGATTTTTGATTCTATCATTTTTTACTTCCTACTTCATTTATTTTTGCTCATTCCTTTTTTCTGCTTTTTAAAATTTTTTCTGGAGTTACTTTTTTAACTTCTTACATTGGCTACTCAGCTTCTCAAGTTTTTGCCTTTCTTCTCTTCTAATACAAAGTTTTAAGGCATAAATATATCTCAAAATATTGCTTTGGCAATATCCTATGAATTTTGATATATATTATTATTATCATTCTGTTGTAAGTATTTTAACTTTCCATTAGATTAAATGTTGTTTCTTCTTTTATACATTGCTCAGAAGTATACTTCTTAAATTTTTAAATATATAGGTTTTCAAATTTATATTTTTGTTAATAATTTCAACTTAATTGCACAGTAGTCAAAGAATGTGTTGTGCATGATTCCAGTTCTTTGAATTTACTGAGATTTACTTTATGGCTTAGCAGGAGGTCTGTCTAATTTTTGTAAATATTCCATGTGTAGAGTGTAGAGATGAATGTGTATTCCCTAATTTCTGATTCTGTAAATGTCCACTAAATCTAGCAAGTTGATTAGTTTGTTCAATTTTTTTTCTATGTGTTTATATTTATTTGGGTCTCCTTGACCTACCAGTAATTGAGAGAAATATGATAAATTCTCACGTCATGATCATGAATTTGTTTATTAGGAGCCAGGCCACACAGCAGGAGGTGTGCGGTGGGCAGGCGAAGCTTTCTCTGCTGCTCCCCATTGCTGGCATTGCTGGCATTGCTGCCTGAACATCCCGCACACGCCATCACCCGCCCCTTGTTCGTGGAAAAATTGTCTTCCGCGAACCCGGTCCCTGGTGCCAAAAAGATTGGAGACCGCTCATCTATTTCACAGCTGAGCTTCACCCGGGTCTGGGATAAACAGAGGAAACGCTTGCAGTCTCCTTGAGTTCCCCTGAGTCTCAAATCAGCCATTTCACCGTAAAACCTCTGTTGCCCCCGTTGAGTTTGACTTAAGTGCATGCTAGTCTAAGACTGAATTGGACGGGGTTGGGGGAGTGTGGAAAGGGTGCCCAGTTTTGCTTCAGATCAGGAGAAATAGATTTTTAGAGCACCATTCCTATGGATAAAAGTGAACTAAGCCCTCAAGGGACCCCCAGCACAGCACAGGACGTGATGATCACCCTTTCTAAGAGACTCATTCAACAAGCAGAGGCGTCAAGTTGCTCCAAAAATGATCCTTGGGAAATGATAAACTATGATATTTGATAAAGTTTTCTGAATGCTGGAACCAGCAGTACCTGGGGGAAGAAGGCAAGAAACCGAGAGAGACTGGGGGCAAGATT